CTTGTGCGTGTGGGTGTGCGTGCGTGTGGGTGTGCGTGTGTGCGGGTGTGCGTGCGTGTGGGTGTGCGTGCATGTGAGTGTGCGTGCGTGCGTGGGGTGCGTGCGTGGGTGCGTGCGTGCTTGCGTGCGTGCCTGCTCGTGGGTGTGTGTGTGTATCCCAAAACGACACCCAACATATACACTCACCAATATTAAAGAGGAACCTTATATACACTCACCAATAACAGCAGCATAAGCCCGGTTTCACATGTGGTGTGAGCATGAAGCTCGATTGTCCCAGAAATCCTGTAAGGCAAGCTTTGCATGGTTGACATTCGCTGTTGTTCGCGCAGTTCTACATTCGCTCTTTGAAGCCTGGATTCTTTGCTGTTTGCAGCACAGTTTGCAGCGCAAGTATCATTGTCGCATGGAACACAACCAGCAGGTCAGGTGATAACATGTCTGGACATCAGGAGTATGCCAACGTGTCCTTCGAGCAAAGCCAATAACCCCAATTGAGCAAACATGGCATGTGCAGTTTGTGCGGTGATCTTGATGCGCATGTGAGGAGTGACATTGTTCCAGAGATCAGTGCATGTGATCATAGTTGACTCATCAACACCTTTAGCAATACAGCCGCAACAATTCGGCAGCAGGCACTGCATTCTCATATAACATTTCACTCATTTTCTTCTACTCCATCAACATGCACTTCCTCCAGTACTTCTTTGTTTTCTTTCCCCCTTCCACGAGTACTTGGGCACTACAAGTGTGTTGGCATATGTTCTTTCAATAAGAGTGTGTGTGTCTCTTCGATTTAGCAATATTCAGAGTACCCAAAAGTCCGAAAGCAACATGAACGCCAGCCGCCATGGAGCGAATGAACCTTCTCCAATCGTCATGGACCCCATGAGATATCAAGCTGTCATGGCTCCCATGAGCGCGTCACGGACCCCACAACTGTCATGGACCACGAGGGGTGTCCAACTGCCATGGTTTCCTGTACCTTCTAAGGAGTTTCTTTTTTTCATCGTTCTTCCGGCCGCCGTGACACCCTACTGCCACCGGGGTGCATTGCTCACAACCCTGTGTGGAGCCAAGGCAGCCCATGGAACGGGCGGTGTGCAATGCGACCTGGTCCTCCTCGCCTTCGCCGTCGCAGCACTGGTGATCTTCGTTTTGAACTTCGGCATTGCCGCCCTGCTGCAAAGCCTTGTGCATGGTCAGCAGCTAGTACGGTTGTGCAGCCGGGAAGCAGTTGCCGTGTGAGGTCCTCCTGTCACCGTTGTTGAAGTGGCACGGGTGCAGTCTATCCGACCAACTGTACCAGGCAGTCGGACAGCAGACCCAGCAGACCATGCAAGCTGCAACTCCAGATGTCCAGTCTGTTCTTGTTGCTCGCTTGCGGCAAAATGGCATCCAAGATCTGCTAGGAAGGACCTCGGCGATTGAGCCAACTTGCAGAAGGCCCGGTTCTCGAGGCTGGCAGTTCTTCCCTCTGTCGTGGTGAAGCCCTCATGCCTTTCAGGACCAAGTTGTTGCAGGATGTTGCGATGCTGCCAGCTCCAGTTTGTTGTCCTCATGTCTAAAGCGTTGCAACGATCGATTCGCAACTTGCATTGCTGGCAGGCGTGGTCTTGCTTGCACAACCTGGACCGGAGCTCTCTACGCCTACTTCCTGACAAGGAGCCCATGTTCAATTTTGTTGGGCTTCAGCCGTGGCCATCTGTGGCCAGACTGTGATGTACAAGTTTGCGAGTAAGGACCTGGAGCAGCGGGCACGGCAGGGCCCACGATGGCTCTTCATCGGGGTTTCCTCCGTGCAAAGGAAGGCTGCGGCTTGATGGCATCAAGAAAGGCTGTAGTCCAGAACTTGCAAAGAGGTGACCAGAAGCAGGATTGCATCTGACTTCTCCCTTCTCGCTCACCAAGGAATACTTGGGCCTTACTTTGTCTCATCTTTTTGATGCAATGGGGACAGCTGTGGACACAGGTTGGGCTGGTCATTCGAAAGACAACTCTTGACTGAATGCTGCTTGCACGAGCTGTGCAGCAAAGCAGCGTGCAGCAAAGCAACATGCAGCAGAGCAACCTGGCAATAAGGCAGACGTATCTCTCACTGCATCACAGGCATCGTTGTGCATCTCGCAGACTTTGACGAGAATTGGGCCTGGTCGGCGCGTTTACAGGCTGATGACGTTCTGGTGACATTCGATCAGGTCCGATAATTGCCACCATTTCTCAGTGTCCTCCAACAATGCGGGAACGTGGCAGTAACATGCAGACCAAAACCCTACACCCTAAACCCTCAACCCTAAGGCCTACCCCCTAAACCCCAAGCCCTAAACCCTAAACCCTAAACCTTAGACCCTAAACCCTAAACCCTTAACCCTAAACGAACCTGCAAGGCCGTAAACCCCGGAGCATCCTGAAGCATCCTCAAACCAGGTCAGTAAGTCTCAAGAATGGCTGCGGTCGGGCTTTGACGACGAGGTGCAGGCAAGGGCCAGTATGAACACAAAGAGGGTTCAGGGTTCAGGGTTAAGGGTTTAGGGTTTAGGGAGCTCGGTGGTGGAGTTCATTCCCAGACTCGCGGTGGTGAAAGTTATAGTTTTGTAAGAGGAGGACTGAGTTTGGTGCCAAATGAGCACTCTACGTCTTGTTCTCCATTCTCTTCTTTCACAGCACGAAGACGAGTACAAGATCAGATGTTCCACCCGCCACATTGAGAGAGTGGAGTCGAAGTGTTGTACTTCTGAACAAAAGTCGAGGCTGGCGTCGTTTCCGCCGACCCCCAAAAGAAGTCCCGAAGCTGCCCGCAAGAGTTTTTGTCGACGCAGTCGGCGCCGGGTGAAGAAGAACAAAACGCAGTCGGTTGTTGGAAGCTGGACAGGGGGTCGAGACGAATAGGGCTGAGACCCACTAGTCCGGCAATGAACAAACTCAGCTTGTTTTTCAAGAAGGGGAGGCTGGCCGGTCGGACCCCATCGGGAAGCTTGGGGACCACGACACGGTCGGAGCCGGGGTAAAAAAGAAAGGGGCCGCGGAGGGGTCCACGAGGGCCGAGGTCCCAACAGCTTGCCGGCAAAGGCAATCTCCACTCCGTCAAAACCGCGTAAAGGACATTTAGTCAGACTATGCTCCGGGATAGGTTTGTCATGGGCCGGGTAGGCACCCGCTGCTGGTGCCGCACCCAGCCGGACTGGGGTCGGCAGATGCTGCCTATTCAATGTCCGCAGATCACAGAATTTCAGAATCGAAGATTTTGTATATGTTTCCTCTAAACATCGGCTTTTCAAGCACGAAGTTCCACCAAAACTCAAGAGAATTGGTTGCTGTTTCGTTGCCGTTTGGAGTGCTGCCTGGGTACTGGGGATTGGGCTAGAATGATCTAGAATGTAGCCACTTGCATTTTCTCGCAACTAAGAGACTTGCCTAAACGGGCGCAGACTGCCATGCAAGTGGCACAGCAATCTTGACAACCAGTAGGTGCCTGAATGGCACACAGTAGCAACAGCCAAAGTCTAGGTCTAGGTCGTTTTGGGGTACCTGCCTTGCAGATTTTTCGCTTGGGAGGTGTGGGGTCTGGGGCTGTGGGAGGTCCTTCAGGGCTCAAGATTCTTGGCTTTCGGGAGAAACTTCAGTCGTTTGATGTCTGATGTCACCGCTTTGCGGTGGGGTTGGGGGTTCAGGCTTCTGCATGCCTTGCCGGGACATAAATCCTTCAGCTGCTAGGCCAACCGCTTGCACGTCATCCATGCCCCAGAGCGACTCTATCCCCCGCGAGAAGAGGCGCCGGTGCTGGGCCTGAAGTCCACGCATGTTCAGGCTTTCTTTCCTGCGCTCTCGGTTGATAGCTCGTTGGCACAGGCACTTGCTGGACGTGAGTCCCTACCCTAAAGGCCCAGAATCTGGGAAATCCAGACTTGCCAACTCCAGTTGCCATCTTCGTTGTCATAGCGCTTCCAAGCCAAATTTAGCAACCCTCGTCTACTGAGCTCTCTTTGACCAATTGGGCCGTGTTGTCCATTACTTTGCCACAGAGTTGCCTGTAGCGTGCACATCATTGCACATCATTGCGCCTCCAGACCAGACCAGATGCAACTGATGCCGGCCATGTGGCCACCCCTTTATGTGTCTCCTGCCTTCCATTTAGTGACTTTGTTCCGCTCCCATACGAGTGCACATCGCATCGCTGCGTCCATTCCAGTTCTGTCTCATGGAAATCTTCTAGCTTTCTGCATGATCACCCTTCCTCCCCACCCTGCAATGAGGTCAGGAGCAGGAGCGTACTGTTGCTGTGGCACGAGCGGAAGCTAGTTCTCGTGGCCCATGCTCTCAAGCCTCCAAGCTAAGATGTTGTTCCATCTCGACTGGTGGGGGAGACGAAAGCAAGCTTGAGCCCACCGTGAAAGTTTCTTCAACTAACCACACAAGATATACCAATGTTAAATGTCGTCGCATGTGCTGCATGGAGCGGAGAGCCAAACATGCACGCCTGCCTTGCATTCAGCTGCGAAGCCGCGTGCTGTGAATAGCCGCGCGACTGACTACGAGATGCAACCCCCAGACACGGCATGCCATGGCATATGGCACGACAGAGACTTCGTCAGCGGCTTTGGCACTGTGGGCGTGCCAGGTCCAAAAGAGCACCAAATTCGGCGATCCTCCGCACCGGCAGTGGTGGCAGCGATCCAAGCTTTCAAGAGGCGTTGCTGCATGTTGCTTGCGGCCATGCTGGATGTTGGTGCCTTCAGAAGTGAGCTACAAGGAGAGCCAAGCAGAACCTGGACTATGCCTTCTTGATGTGGTGCCATTTGGAGTTGCATCATCTCTACATTTTCTACAACTGCAAGAGTCAAGCGGAAGCCGTGCAAGACTCTAGTGTCGAGGTACGCAGCCGGCTTGGCAGAATATTACATGCAGCTTGAGGATGATGTCCAGGCCGTGGAATCTGTCATTCCCTTCCGTTTTGCATCGTTTTGCCTGTGTCACGCTCTTTGGAAGGTTGTTCCGAGCTTCTTGCCGACTGTGCGTCGCTATATGCGAGAGTCGATGCCTGATAAGCCCAGCGAAGCGATCGCAACACTTCCCAACATGCTTTGCAATGTGCGCGACATGAAGTCGCTCCTAGGAAGGCAGCTGGCAACGAGTGGGTCATGATTGCCTTTTCGAAGCTGGGATTCATCGGCAAGACCTTTCGGTCTTCGAGGCCTGGTGTAACATCATCTCCGTTTTCGGCATTGTGTCAGCCGTCAGCTGGGAGAGTGTCAGTCGGAGACATGGGCCAGGCTGCCCAAGCTCGCGGAGTTCCTCTTGGTGTTCCATGATCAGGTCCTCATTTCTTCATTTTGGCACCCCAAAACTCCCCCCAAGACAGCCCTTGAGGCATCCCAAGGCTGCGCCTGTTCTGACACAGTTCTGTCACGAGGCTCCCTGCGACTGGCTGGTCTGGATCTTCATTGATGCAGCGAGAGCCTCGAGAGCCTTCTTGTGCTCTAAATCTATAGCTGGATCTAACCTTACTTGGGGTACTTATAACCCTACTTGTAACTTCCCATGAACCAAAGTTGGCCTTTTCCTGGAGCCGGTTCACCGGTTGAGCGGGAATGGTCGGAAGCGCCCATCGGTCTCGTGAGATGTTGGGTTCCATGTTCGAGGCTTCCTCACAGCCAGTGACAGGACAGATAGCCAAGGACGGGCCCGCCCAGCAACTCACTTCATTGCTAAACTAAGCGCTGGTTGGCTAAAGTGTCTGGGTGTCCTGCAGGACTTGGAAGATGAGTTTGTGCGTCTCGGCTGACTGCGCAGAATGCTTCCGGATGTGGGAAATTGACAAATTGATCTCATACCTTGTCTGCCAAGAGAAGATGGAGAGATTCAACACCTCGGAGTTGGGTTCGACAAAGCCTGTGATCTGTGTTGGTGTTGGTGTCGGCAGAAGTTGCATTCGATTTCGTTCATTTTTTCCTAAGCCCCTGCCAGGGGGCTCCGAAAAGCTTGTAAAGCTAGGGTTTAGGGTTTAGGGTTTAGGGTTTAGGGTTTAGGGTTTAGGGAGAGACCTTAGAATGAAGGGATTGCCGCGATAGTACGAGGAAAGTCATGGGAAGTCCCTCGCACATCGGTTGCTCAAGCGAAACACGAACATGATAGCTTCGTACGGTCAGCTTGGGTCTAGATTCTACTTCGAGAAGTAATGTTTTGAATGACTTTTTTTGGCATCTTGTTATCACGGGAACGTCAGGACGATCAAACACTGCAAAAACCAAGGAAGCGTGCTCAGGCCAAGCACCAGGGCAAGACGGGCAAAGCCTGGCCCCCGGCTTTTGGCACTTGGGTGACAGTGGAGACAGGCGAATTCGAGAGAACTCAGACCGAAGTAGGGAGTCAGAGACACCATTGTCACGTGTCGCGCCGGCTGGAAAGGGGTAAAACATGCGCAAAAGAGATGAACAGGGTGTCTGCCTCATCTCCCCTGCTCGGGGAGGAAGAAGAGGGAAACATCTAGCATTAAGCTGCTGTGCATGGCTTTAGACAGATCTTTACAATGCTGTCATCGAAGTGCTGTGTGATCCAGGCATCGCACTTGCCCATGAGCATTTGGCAGCCGATGTTTGCCTTGATGTAGTTGGGCCTGCTGTGAGATGCCTTATTATCATGCCTCAGTTCCAGTTCAGGTTGAGAACCCAAAGTCGATGAGGCACGCGGGATGCTCTTTCGTTGCATACCGCCTCGTGCTGTGATGGTGACAGCGACACGTAAATCATTTCGAGCAGGATTTTATGTCGAAGCAGCTGCTATGTTGGTTTTGCAAACTCCAGAATGGCTCGAAAGCCATGGACAGCTGTGTGTGTGTGTGGCATCATGCAGCTGAAGACTGACTAGGAATGATGTTCTTCTCTTCTACAGGGAGCGCAATGCGGAGCAGGCCTGGCCCTTCAAAGGGGGGAAGCCCCGTAATTCTCAACATAAATGTAAATGTAAATATATGTATATATATATATGTACATGTATATATACATATATGTATATGGTCCCCCCCCCCCCCCCAGTGTCAGTTCCGGTGCGGTGAGGTGTTCTTGTCCCCCGCGGCCGCGGCATCTCCGAAGCCGACGGTTCCGTCAGCCGGCTGTGAGCTGTAGTTGCTTTTGCGTTGATGGCTTGGAATGTTGCCCCTTATACCAACAGTCCTTAATAGGGGTTCGAATTTAATGGGGGGTACTAGAGTCCCTGTTAAGGACCGTTAGTAGAAGGGGGAACATCCCAAAGTCCAGAGACCCGGGGAAGTGGGTCCCCTTTTCCGGGGGGGGGGGCGAAGACGAAATCCGAAGACGAAATTCGGCCCAGCCGAAATTAGGCCCTGAAGACGAAATTCGGCACTGAAGACGAAATTCGGCCCCTGAAGCCTAAATTTGGCCCTGAAGCCTAAATTGGCCTCTTGAAGCCGCAATTCGGCCCCGAAGACGAAATTCGGCCCCGAAGACGAAATTCGGCCCCTGAAGACGAAATTCGGCCTTGAAGCCGAAATTCGGCTCCTGAAGACGAAATTCGGGCCGGAAGCCTAAATTCAGCCCTGAAGGCGAAATTCGGCCCTGAAATTCGGCTCCTGAAGGCGAAATTCGGCCCCGAAAACGAAATTCAGGGCCATTTTATGCAGGCCTAAGGGGGACCGAAACCGAATTCAAGCTTCAGGCCGAATTTCGTCTTCGGGACCGAATTTCGTCTTCAGGAGCCGAATTTCGGCTTCAGGGCCGAATTTCGTCTTCAGGGCTGAATTTAGGCTTCGGGCCGAATTTCGTCTTCAGGAGCCGGATTTCGGCTTCAGGGCCGAATTTCGTCTTCAGGGGCCGAATTTCGTCTTCGGGGCCGAATTCGTCTTCGGGGCCGAATTTCGGCTTCAAAAACCCAGCCGAATGTAGGCTTCAGGGGCCGAATTTCGTCTTCAGGAGCCGAATTTCGTCTTCAGGGCCTATTTCGGCTGGGCCGAATTTCGTCTTCAAATTTCGTCTTCGAATTTCGTCTTCGCACCCCCTCCCCCCCGGAAAAGGGGACCCAGTTTCCCGTGTCAATGCCAAAGTCCTTTCCCGCCAAGGGCCGTGCCATCGCTGCTGCCGCTGCCCATCGAACAGGTGCCCTCGGTGAGGCAGCAGATGGCACCAGGGACGCAGAAGGCTCAGGCTTTGCTCGTAGTCCTCTTGGAGAGGTGAGCTGCTCTGAGAAGAGGGCCATACTGGTGAACTAGCCAAGGCTACCGCCAGCGCAGGTCTACAGCAACATGAAGCACTGGAAGCAGTATCTGTCCCAGTCTTTGCAGTTCTCGCAGATGTTCGTGTGAGTTCTAGTCTAGATATGTGTGTTTTTGTCTGTGAAGTTCAATCGGCAACGGAGTCAAACGTCCAAAGCCCCAGAAGCAGCCCTACCAGCTCGTGTCTGGCAGTTGTTTCCTCAACCAGAACAAGTTTTTAGCTTTTCAAGGCCATGTAGTATTGTGATCCCCCAAGGTGTGACCCGAACATACACCAGCTGGGTTTTCTACGCTTTGTATTCAGAAGCTTATACAGCACGGCATGAACCGTCCTTCTCGCAGTCGAGTGCTCAACACAGTGAACACAGTTCTGCAGCTGCTGACCGCTGGTGCCATGGAGATCATCGATGGACATGGGCAGGTCGCGGCTGCGAGGGCGGACGTATCATACGCAGACGTGGAGGATGCAAGCCCGACCAAAGCCGGCCATGTCGCCAGCATCATCGATGCAATTCAGAACTCGCCCTCCGTCCCTGACGGCCAAGCGGGTTCCGGTTCCGGCTCGGGCTCCGGCTTGCGGAAGGGTGCCAACAGTGCCAACAGCGCCAACAGCGCCAAAAGCACCTTCTCTAGGGCTTCGCGGCCGGACTCCGACCTCGTCCTGGCGCTGGTCGGTCGGCCCTGCGGCACAAGTTTGACAGAACGAAGTTTGGGGACTCACCATGGATCACCTTGGGCTACGTAGTTGAGTCGATAGGCCCCTGTGGGGGTTTACGAACATAGGGGACCCAAATATAGACCCCAAAAGTAGTAGGATTCCCTTAGAATAAGGACCCCAAGTAGGGTACCCCGAATTTCGGAAACCCCTCAATGTAGTGACTGCCAAGTGGGTTTCAGAGAGGCTGGACGGCCTCGAGAATCGCGTGGAGGAGCTCAGCCGCGCACTGGATCGCCTGGTACAGCGCTTCGACTGCCTGCAACCTGGGGATCTGGCCTGCCGCCTCGAGGACATGCGCGGGTCTCCAATATCGATCCCCAAATAGTAGGATCCCCCTTATAGTAAGGACCCCAGTAAGGTACTCCCCTCATTTCGTAAACCCCCATGTCTTGCAGGCTTCTCTGAGACCTCTCTCCCCAGCTTGGCCAGGAGCAGGAAGCTCGCATTCAAGCTACGCGCTGCCACCTGGAAGCCACGGAGCATCAGCTCTCTCGTGATGTGGCTGCGCACGGAAACCTCATCCGAAGCTTTCAAACACAGTGTGCAGATCTGCAGCGGCAGCTTCGCAAGGCAGCGTCGGTGTCGGAAGCACAGGAGATTCGCGAAAGGGTGGGAGGTTTAGAGGCCAAACATGCCAACATCAAGCATCAGGTCTGCCATGAGACTCGGGAGGCTGTTCGCAAGGAGTACGAGAGGCTTGTCCTAGGACTCGCGCAGGGAGCGCCTTCTGCCCGCAGATTACCAGACACTCCGTCCGACTTCTCGTTGGTAAGCGACGTGGGCAGTCTGAGAGATCGTTTAAACGATCTCAAAGGCTTCCGGGCTGCTAGGCAAGCCCCTGTCAATGCTGAGGGGCCCCTTGTTGCCCATCCAGAATCGGAGAGTATCTGCGATTTTTCCCGGATCGAGCTGGCCAGTCCTGTTCCTGCACCTCAGTCGTAGCAAGCGGTTGCAGTGCACAACACTTGAACCCACCAAAGTGTGACCTCGCAACAGATGTTCTTAAGGCTGCACGACCGATCCTGTTTGACGTCTGTCTTCTGCATGTTGCAAGAGCGGTTGATCGTCAGCTTCTCCAGAGCAGCATGTCCTCCGCGCTCTACTCAAAAGTACAGATCAGGACGTTGCACGGACCTCAAAGCAGCGAGTCTTGTCTGTCAATCTTGTAGGGCCTGCGGCATGCCCCTGACAGGCTAGAATCCCATGTCATCCTCTTAAGTATGCGCCGCCTAACGGTAGCAACGTGCTGCAGTGCGTGACAAGCATGGCAGCCGAGCGCGGCTGCTGGTCAGCTTGAGATTCCCACATGGCTCCATGCTCAAGAAGGCCCCCCGGTGCTTTCTGGCAATGCGCTTTAGGGAACTGTAGGGTATGTTGTATGTCCTTCTCGGATGTACCATGGAGATTCAGTCCGAGAAGTCAAGAGGCATTTTCTGGCCTCGACCGCCTGCTCGTGCCCCAGAGTACCATATCACGACGAGTCGCGCTCCACATCGCTTGAAAACCACAAATGCAGGGTCCAAAATTGTGCGGATGCCTTTTCCTGCGTGAGGCACAGACCGGGACTCCCTGGCCTCATCGAGCCTCCGCATCTCGACGGTAAGATGCGCGGTGTTTGGATGTGTGTTGTAGCGGCTCGCGAACGTGCGCAGCTCGCGTAAATGCAGACCTTGCCTTGCTGTGCTTTGCAGAAAATCTCAGGGTGGGTAAAGCGGCGACTGATTCCAAGGCCATGCTTAGATCTGTTCTCGGTTTACATCTTGCATCTTCTTGCAGCGCTCTCCTTGCACATCCTTGCATACGGGAGTTTACCCTGGCACCCTGAACCCTGAACCCTAAACCCTAACCCCTAAACCCGAAACCCTAAACCCTACCCTAAACCCCCACATCCTTGCGTCTTGCGGGTCGTCAGGAGATTGGCACGTGGAGCTACCTTGTGACGGACCTCTCGGGCATCCGGCCGCGGCAGGACGCTCCAGCAGAAGCCCATTGAAAGGCATTGAGACACGTATTACTATAATAGTAGCAGTTTTTATTATCAATAATGATATTATTATCAGGTTTGCTATTATTCATTTTTGTTTGTGTTTTTATATTTTATTTGTATTGTTGTCTTCATTTTTATTGTTATTATTTCTTTTTTGTTTCCTTTGTACGTGTTTGCGCCCACAGGCAGTCAATCAATCAACCAATTTTTGTACGTGTTTTTGTGCAGAAACCTCCGTTTCTCCATTTTCAGAGGAAAACCTCTACTTCCTTTGCGTTTGAGTAGGACAACCTCTGTTGCCTTTGTATTGAAAAAAGAACCGCCTTTCCCATGCCTCCCCCCTCTCTGCTCCTTCAACGCGGGGTGGAGGTTTTTAGATGGTTTCGGGTTTAGATTTCTGTTTGGGGGTTTGAGTCCTAGATGCATTTCGTCGGTCGGTCGGTGGGGTTCCGAACCATCTCTGGCAAAGGTGGTCAGTCAGTCGGCCCGTCTTTCCAGACGGTACGAGTTGTAGCCCGATGGCCGGCCAGTCAGTCAGTCTATCCGGCCTTGGGCCAAGACCACCAGTCAGTCAGTCAGGCATCTGTCTTCCAGACTTAATCTTGCAGCCAGACGGCCGGTCAGTCAGTCTGTCGGAAACACGGTTGCAACTTAGGCAACTTGGGATGTTCCCCCTATATGGTCCTTCGTAGGGATTATAATCGGGGGTACTTTAATCCCCATAAGGACTGTTAACGTCCCAAGTTGCGACCCAGAAGGCGAAATGGAAAGGAGACACGGGCCACCCATCCTCGGAGCATTCTGTTTGCAAAGGGGGGGATTTCGGCAATATACTTGCCCCCGCTCTCCTTTTTTTTTGCGGGTTAGGCTTTAAGGGTGTAATTTCGGGTTTTGGGCCAGCTCAGTTTTGTCTTCAGCTCTGAATGGCAAAATTGCTGGGGCTGCAACACAAACATAGAATTGGAAAGGAGATCAGGGTCCATTCATCCCCCAGATCGTTCTGTCTACGACTTCCTTGCTCCTTGTTTCTTAAGCAGCTTGTTTCTTAAGCAGCTGTACATTGTACATGCCTGCATCGTTCAATTTTCAGTGGCTGGTGCTGCGACCCCACATGCGACACGAAAAGGAGACGTGGTTCTGCTCGTAAATGGAGGGGAGAGGGGGGCTGCGACCCCCAGCACGCCTGTGTTGTTTTAGCTGTGCATCTTCGGATCACTTCGCAGTGGGGGTGGCTGCGTTCTTCATAAACTGTCCAGGTGTGGGGCCCCCGTCATCCTTAAATCGTTCTGTTCGCAAGTGGGGGTTCGCGCGCCTCAAATCCCACCGCTCATGAATCTGTTCGCCGTGTCGCATGCGCAGCCCAACCATGCGCCTGCTGTTGAGGCGGATTCCAATTCCCATTCCTTGGCATCCTGGCTAGGGACAACAACGCTGGTGTAAGACGCGAGAATTGCGCCCCCGCGAGAATTGCACTTCCCTCCCCATTGCCACTGTCATTGCAAACGTGAACAGGCAGGGCTGCCGTATGCCTTCAAAAATGGTGGTATCACAACAACGACACCCCAACACAACAAGAAAGCTGTCACCACAAAAGGCCCGATATCAGTGGCAAACCCTAAGTCTTAATCCAGCAAAACCCTCATCTTTAAATCCTAAATCCTACCGCGCAACATGAGCTTTAAGCACTCAGACATTACCTGCAATGATGCAACCTGTAAAACCCTACGTCCTAAACTCTAACTCCTCAACCCTAAGCCTGAACCCATTCCCTCAACTCGAAACCTTAAACCTTCCATCCAAGACCCCGCAGCCACACCACAGGGGGGGCATACCAGGGAAGGGGCTGGCGCGCCGGTGCTGCTCACAGCCTGCATTCCGCAGACCTTGGCACCTTGAGCCACTTCAGTGCTCGATGTGCTTCGTTGTGATGCAGGAGCCGGTCTATAGCCAGGATCCCGGAGGTTGAGATGTTCATATGGGTGGTTGTCAAGATTATGATCCCTTTTGGGGTACCCCTAAATATTGGGTGCCGTATCATAATAGGGATCCAAAAAGGGAGCATAATTTTAACGCTACGCGACCCGCCTCGGCCCGGCCCAGCGCATCCGCGTGAGCATGGTGATTCCGCAGCGCCCAAGTCGCTGACCCCAAGCAATAAGGGTTGGGTTTAGGGTTTAGGGTTCCGGGTTTATGGTTTATGGTTTGGGGTGTAGGGTTGAGGTTAGTTTAGGGTTGAGGGCTGGGGTTTAGGGTTTTTGGGTTTAGGGTTCAAGGTTCAAGGTTGAGGGTTGAGACGGCTCGGCTTGGATTGATTTCGTAAAGTCTTCAGATTGTGGTCGCCC